GCTCGTTTGGATGCTTCTTTCCCAGACACCTCCAACCCAGGGAGAGAAAAGTAGAATAGGGCAGAAGTTGATTCGACAGGGGCCAAACTTCTGCTGGCAATCGTGGCACAACACCAACCTCTTGAACAGTCGCCCCCAGGAAGGTCTTTGCATTGTCACTATAGATGACAGCTGGAATACCATACAAGTTGGTGAAACGTACCAAAGCCTGAAGAAAGGGCAGCACACCCATGTCCAGCATCACATGAATATGTATCGCTCTGACACAGAGACAAGTGAAAATGAACAAATACATCATCATCTCCCTACTACCCTCTCTAATCCAAAAGGTGTCCGGTGAAGTCAACTCTAGTATGTTCAGAAGAAACATCCAGTTCCACACGTGAAGTGGGTAAATTGTCCGCTTAGGGAGGCAGGGCTTTTCTGACATTGTCCAATGTACAAGAACAAAAGACAGTCTTTACTGCCTGTCTTCTCTTGGACACCTAGAATCCACGACGGCTCAGTTCAGCCAGGGTTGACCCAAGTCATGAAATGGTAATCCATTATGATGGGCTTGGTTATGAGGTGACGTTTAATCAAAAGGATGGGGTGTTTAATCTCCATATTGAACTGAAGAGACCAATCTATTCTGACAACCGACCTGATTAAGCCCTCCCTGTCAATGAACAGGTCAGTGTCCCATACACACCTAGGGACAGTCCTACCCGAAGGATCCAGCAAGAATTCTAATTCCTCGGATTACGACTGTTATTGCATAATCTTCATAATTCAGCCCTTCATTGTAAACCTTCAACCACCATAATCTATCGACGAATGAAGTTACCCTCAAGAGCTTCGCGAAAGAATAAAAGCTCTCGAGGGGCAAAAGACTGATGCGAATTCCTCTTCTTAAATGATTGCAGCATTAAATGAAGAATGGGCGATCCGTGGCCCGACGAGGAGTCCCACGACTCAACTAATCCACACCATGGCACCAGAACTGAATGTAGGCTGTGAACTTTTTCAACGTCATACCCATGGTGATCACGTCAGCAGGGTTCTCCATGGTCAGCACATACCGGGATAAGTGGGTGATGCCAAACAAGGACTCCATCTCGGTGCTAATCTGCAAGACATCCTTCTGTCTGTTTCTCCCAAAGAGGTTCTTACTAACAATGGCCCGAGAGAAAATCCAAGATAGGACCACCTGAGAATCTGCGGCTACATGTATTATGGTTGGTATGAACTCCCACAGCCCTTCAAGACAGTTGGCAAGTATTTCAGAGTATATTGCCAAAAGTTCCAAGATGGGAAAAGTTTTTCTTTTCAAGTATGCCACCTCAACCTTGGCAAAAATCAGGCAAGATTGGCGGTTCTCCGTCACAGAGAGCGAACCCATATTCCTCCGGCGATGCATCACATTAAAAGAACAGGTCGCCACTCTTATCGTTACTGAAAATGGTGCCCAATCCAGAGAGGCCAGATGAAAGGCTCTTCCACCGAGAGAAAAACTCTCGTGGAACCTGCTCATCCCATCATTAGTCTTTCTCCCATAGCTCACTTAACAAAATCCGACCTCGCAATGAGACAGTCAAGACTAGAGACGAGGGTTCAAAGAGTCTTGCTGCTTCAGTAAGAATGTCTCTTTGTAGGAGCATTAGGGTCGCATTCAGTGGGAACGATACGTAGCGTGTCAGAGAGGTGACTGTGTCAATATACCAGCATCTTCACCCAATCTGATCCATGATTGCTCAGGGTTTCATTCTATCCCGGATCTCTACACAGAGCTGCAAGAATGCAGCTCGACCTAACCCCGTTGCAATCGTTTCCTGGAGAGGGCATACCAAATTGCACAGTTCATTTGGACGATCACCGTTCATCACCAGATTATCTACATAAAACTGATTCTCCATCACGTGTTTGGAAAGATCGGGAGGGGGGGGGACTGATCCGCATGGTACCGGAGAATACAATTTAATATGAAGGGACTACAGGTGAAAACAAAAATGATTGTGTTGTATCTGAAACAACACAAGCGACCTCTGTTGTTCAGGAAAAAGCAGAACCTAATCTTGTCGGCTTCCACTTACAAATGGGTCATTAGGAAGGCTTTCCTGATATCTGCCAACAAGACGTGGTCATTTGCTCGAAATGGGAGTATTAAATCTAACGTGTCACTTGTATGGTTCACTAACCCCAGCCTCATTAAGGGAAGGAGGGGTCACTAGTCTTGAGGTTGCAGTTGAGTACCGGTCAAATTTTAGTGGTGGAGGTAGGACCTGACTTCAAGACAGGCCCGTTCAGAATCCAAATATGTTCTTTAAACCGCTGAGGAGGAACGAGAATCTCCTTTATTATTCTGCCACATTCCTATTGATAGAACCCCCCCCCCAAATAATCCTGATGAAGCAGATTACGTTCCAGTCTCCGTACCACATGGTCTAATAGGCATAAGGCCTCATAACGGTTGGAAGGGGACACAAAATATCTTGTTAGAATTCTAAGTTAATTTTGTATAACACTTATTATCGTTGAGGGAAATGGATCGTCGCAAAATATCAACCATCTGTTCGTTATATTTGGACTCTTGTTCTCTTTTTCTGATCCCCAGCGACTCCAAAATGAACAATTTTTCCAACCTACTTTTTTTTACGACACCGTCTGGGCAGAAATCACTTAGAGGTTCCTCATATGTGCTCCTAGACTCCAGCACAAAACACAAGTGCGAAAGTTTAAGCGTGACGGTTGATTCAAACACAGAATCAAACGCGAGACACTCATAGACATCATCCTGAGAGTACCTTGGCGAGTGAAATTTTCCCACTTTTTCAAATGAAACAAGCCCCTAAAAATGCCCACCCTTGCAGACAAGGCACCAGTTGAAGCGGGAAGAGAAGGTGATGAATTAAGTAAAGTCCAATTATTCCATTAATTGGAATAAAATTGGTGCCTCTGCCAAACCAGCCAGTAAGGGGGCATTAGATGCGCAGGAATTCGTCCAACAGAGTCCAGTTCCTTGATTGCTACTGACGAATCTATGTTTTTATCCACCAACACTGGGAATTAAAGAGGACAATCAAACCAGACATCAGTTTCCAGGACTATCGCCTTCAAACCTTTGTCGCAGTCTCCAAGGAGTGTACTGTACTGATGCGGCATTCACCCTGGGCGGATTGAGCCGGCTTCTTCCTGTTATGAGAAGAAGATTCTTGGGATAAATTACAGAAGTAGGGTACCAAGGCCTACTCGGATAACGTTCTTGCTTGCCGCGGGGTTCCCACAGACGCAGACACAGGAACGACCAGAAGCCGCCGGTTGCCGATGCAGACGCTCCTTGGATTTTCACCAGAGCCCTTGTTAGCCGGCGTGTGTGTCAGACCTGTCCGCCTTGGGTGGCCCTACCAGGAACGAAGTTCCGGGCGGCATAGCTCTGACACTACCGTTTACACACACACCCCCCACCGACTGAGGTAAGGGTTGGACTTTGGGGGCTTACAGTACCAGGTGTTCCCAAGCGGTCCCCCATCTAAGTAGTGACCTGGCTCTACGATGCTTAACTTCGATGATCGAACGAGAACCGGTGTTTTCAGCGTGATTTGACCGTAAGCTCAATTTCAGTTTATCTACACTCCAAGGATTGTAGATAAACTGAAATCGCAATCAAGCCCAACGGACACTAAGCTGTCGACAGACTTCAAGAACTCACTGGACAGGTTCACACGCTACCAATGTCCAATAAACAATTGACAGAGGCTTTCACCATTCCTACCAAACGTTACACATAAAGCAAGGGGGGCAGGTTAGTAGAACTCTCAAAATTAGTGCTGCATGCAGAATTAACATGAAAGGAAGAATTCTTCCGAGTAGCCAATTTCTCTATGCCAGTCTAGGTACTCTGGTGAAGATCTCGTCCGAACAGTTGCTATTTATAGAAAAGGCACAGGGAGGCAACTTTACGGCGTTGGGAAAATGAGTGAACCCGAGACGTCAGACCAGTACCTATAATATTGCCGATTTCTAGATATATAGCAGGAGCACCAGATCATATGTGGCAGCAATATTCTTAGCGTGGCCGAATGGTAGATTTATAGATATGAAAGAGAGATTTAGGAGAGAAAATGTGTCTTGTACGACACACTGAAAGAAATTTCTTACCAGCTGACCTATACATGAAAATAGGTTATTTCCCCTGGAATTTATCTGCTTTTCTAAAACGACGTCTAATACTCCAAAGAATTGCGGTATTTAATATTCCTGGCTCAGTAAAATCTTCCTGAACATGTTCCTCCCATTTACCTTGGGCCAATTTTATTTAATAGTCGAGTCTTGTTTAATATATCAACACAGAATATGGCTGACAAAATACCAATTTTATTTAATAGTAGAGTCTTATTTAATACTGATCAATTATTGGTTACCTAGTGGATTTAAGCGATGTTTTGTGAATTTAGTAACATCATAATTTTGTGTTCAATCCTGGGACCAAGTAGTGAGGAAACGAGGCGGGAAATAACTGAACAGTACTAAATAAGAATTTGATGGGATATCTCTAGACATGGACAGTGGAACGAGGCAGCAAAATAAAAGGATTGGTTTGAAATTCACTGATGGTTAACCAGATCGACAAGAACCTGATGAAGACTGAAGGGAACAACAGCTGAAACGTCGTCATAATAACAAAGATGAAGACATTAGACCGCATGCAAATAATGACTTCATTTTTCGCTTTCTCTCTCTCTTTTTTCACCGTTTCTTTTTTTCACGATTTTTCATGAAACCTAGAAACGAAGTCATTTTTCAGGGCAGGTTTTATATTTGTTTTACATTTAATATGGTCGACAGATGGAGTCTTAATGTAATTGACACAAATTCTGAAAAAATTAATTTACCAAGTTACCAGCTGACTGTCCTCATAGTGCCCTTATACTTGAAAATAATTCTAATTTGGTTTATTTGGTTGCCCACATGACTAAGTTTATCTAATACTTAGTTTTTTTTTCTTTTCTTTAAATCGACGATTACACCCTTCCAATACCAAATAATGGAATTACGGTATTTAAAGGGGAAGAGGAGAGAAAGAGGAGAGGGAGAAGAGGAGAGAAAGAGGAGAGGGAGAAAGAGAAAGAAAAAGGAGAGGGAGAAAGAGAAAGAAAAAGGAGAGGGAGAAAGAGAAAGAAAAAGGAGAGGGAGAAAGAGAAAGAAAAAGGAGAGGGAGAAAGAGAAAGAAAAAGGAGAGGGAGAAAGAGAAAGAAAAAGGAGAGGAGAAAGAGAAAGAAAAAGGAGAGGAGAAAGAGAAAGAAAAAGGAGAGGGAGAAAGAGAAAGAAAAAGGAGAGAGGGAAAGAGAAAGAAAAAGGAGAGAGGGAAAGAGAAAGAAAAAGGAGAGAGGGAAAGAAAAGAAAAGGAGAGAGGGAAGGAAAGAGAGGGGGGAGGGAAAGAGAGGGGAAGGGAAAGAGAGGGGAAGGAAAGAGAGGGGAAGGAAAGAGGGGGGGGGAAAGAGAGGGGGAAAGAAAGAGGGAAAGGAGGGGAAAGAAAGAAGGAAAGGGAGGCAGATATAAGTGTTTAACATTTCAGTGAAATGGAAAAAGTTGTCAATTTCAAATCTTTTCATTTGTACCCCCTTACTCCTTAAAATAACAACCAGCATTCATATTTATGATTGTTATTACAATATTTTGTTAAAATTGTTTAATGATGTGGTAGAGGAATTTCTACAGATATTTCATTGTCGTAGAATTCATCATGAGCTTATTCAATCATTAACTTAAGAATTATTCATTAAAAAAAAGAAAACCAAGAAATTTCCACATGTATTTCTTGTTAGTAATATTATCATTAGCTATTTATACATATAATATGTAGACTTTTTCCAATTATCTCACCCAAAGCAAGGCAATAATGCCACTAATACGTACGGGGGGTCTTAGTGTGAAAGAAAATGAGAAAACTTTAGTGAGTGGAAAGGAAAAAAAAAAAAACAGAATTCAGAATAACAGAAGATGATGACTGATGTTGCATTTAAAATGACAGGAAAGCAATAAGTCAGAAAAGAGTTCCATAGACAAGACGTGCAATAGAAGATATTAGAATAGAACTTATGGCTGCATCTATTTCAAAAGTAAAATGATGCAGACTAGTTAATCTAAATCTAATATCAGTTATTACAAGTCTCACAATCCGTTAGGATCACAGGGACACCACATGTACTGTAGCCATAGCAGCAGTGGTGTCTAGGGCAAACAAGGCTGCTTTCTCATATCAACAACTAAAAATGGCTTCAAATGAAAAAAATTCCTTTAAATTTTGAAGACGATGATCCTTCACCAGACCATATAGATTGGCGTTGCACAATCACAAAGAGCTTTACCAAATAACAAAAACCACACCATCTGAAGACTTCCAATAGCAGCAACAACAGAAAAGGGATAGCACATTTAACGGAAAAAGAAAATAATGATATAATCAAACTGTTAGCTTTCTACACTACCATACATACTGTAAGGAAACTCCCAGCAATATTTAAAAGGGCTATAACAGTGGACGTGAGAAGTCTACGTTTCTTAAAAAAACTGGTTTGAATCTTACAACAGTGGTTTCGTCTACAAAGAGGGACGAAGGTTCGAATCCTGTAGGAGGGAGAATTTTCTTTTAATAAGTTATCTTGAATGTGCAGACTGGTAAATGAAATATAACACAGTTTAAAATAAACGGAGAGATTTTTCTAATAGTCACAAAATTTATATACTACTTCCATACTTATGGGGACATTCATTCTAAAAAACAAGATTTGCTTAATTAAGATCAACAATTGAAAAGGCGAAGAAGAAAAAAAGAAGAAGAAGAAAAGAAGAAGAAGAAAAAAAGAAAAAAAGAAAAAAGAAAAAAAGAAAAAAGAAGAAAAGAAGAAAAGAAAAAAGAAGAAAAGAAAAAAGAAGAAGAAAAAAGAAGAAGAAAAAAGAAGAAGAAAAAAGAAGAAAAAAGAAGAAAAAAATCCTTTAAAATTTCAAGACAATATAGATTGGCGCTACAGAATCACAAAGAGCTTTACCAATATAACAAAGTCTAGGATTAACCATTATCTTACCAACATATACTCATAATCTGCACTTATCTCTTCATACAACAATCTCATTCAGTAACGCTCTACCCCGAGTGGCTCTTGGATCTTATATTGAGTGAATAAATATATTAAAAGAAAAAGTCTCAAATTAAGTCAGCTGGGTTAAGTAAAGAGGTGTTCGTGTAATAAGTGAATTGAAATCTTTATTATTTCAAGAGGCGAGTGAACATAAAATGTATACAAAAATAATCAAGCATATTATTCTCATATTCTTTGTATGACAATGACAGCAGTCATTTACTGTGAAGTGATACAGTATTCAAGAGCATTTGATTCTGTGTGTGCCACACCTAGATATTAAGTAACTAAAGTGATTCTGTGGAAGACTTTCTTAGTTTTGAACTTGGGAACTGTGTGAATTCAAAAGAAAGAAACATTCTAGCAAAAAAAGTTATTCAGAAAACAAAAAAAATTATTCTGAAAAAGAAAAAAATATTCAGAAAATAAAAAATAAAGAAAATATTGAGAAAAGCCAAAAAAAATTCAGAAAAACCATTAAAAAAACATAAAAAAATAAAGTACAAATGAAAAAAGAGAAATTTTCTGAAAAATTAAGTAAATTAAATTATAAAAAACAACAAAAAATGTGATTGATCATATATTTATTCCTGATAACCTTTTAAGATTCATTTACCTGAAGTAACAGATTTTCCTTTGTTTGAATAAGACATTCATTTCTTTGGAGAGTTTCCATTTTAAGTGTTGAAGTGGAATTGAGTAGAATGCTTCTAAACTGGTGATCCAGCTTATAATTTAAGTGAAATGATGCCAAACTTGAGACTAGGTCTAAATTTATGGCAGCCAGTTTTCAATTTAACATGTAAATTGAATGTAAAACTGGTGTTCATTTATACAAAGGAAAAATAAAATCCAGTTGCAATATTGACATTTAAAAATAAACAAAAAACGCTAAGAAAAAAACGCTAAGAAAAAAAAGGAATCAATATGAATAAAAATCATTATAAATAAAAATAAATAAAACTAAAAATCTAAAACTTAAAAAATTCATAACTTAATATTTTGAATAAAAAAAAAAAAAAAAAATTATTTATAATGATATCAGGACATTTTGCAACTATATTTGTAATTTCTAAAGTAATAATGGATTTTATTTATTAATCTGACATTTTTATCACTTTAAATGTTTAAAATAATAAAAATTAATAAAAATATTAATAAATATTTCTTTAGAAATTGTTTTATTTACATTTCCGATATGACACTGGGCAGTTATGAAATTTCAGGAAACTGAACAAGAGGGAGGGTCTTAAAAGGTATTAGACAACATTGATTGATCAACAAACATTGCTTATGACCATGTGGGCTGAAAACCCATCAGATCTAAAGACAGTTTCTACTACAAAAAGAGATGCAGGTTCAAATCCTACTGGAAAGTGTATAAGAATTGCTGAATTGAATGAAACATTATGAGATGAGGTATTTTGTACACTATTTACATTATTTGGACTATTGTCCTCATCATTTTCGCCATATTTATCACAACGTATCAGTATCTGTCTATATTTCTGAGATGAGGTATTTCAGCTGTTGTACGCTCCGGCCTTCTTCATTGTGAGTTTAATACCTGGTTAAGGCAGTGGAGAAATTTCAGAGGGAAATTAACAGGAGATAACTGACATCCATTAGACATGGCACGTGGAACTAGAACAGTCTACCCCAGTGATCGAAATAAAGGGTTCAGTTCGAAATTCCAACCACCTGAAGAAGGCCGGAGCGTACAACAAAGGTTGTGACAAAGATGAGGACAATAGTCCGACTAATGTAAATACTGAAAATAAAATAGTCTAAAAAAATAAATGGAGCATCTACTCAAATATGGGTATCTGCTATAAATAATGTTTAAAATTATATATGAGCTTAAAAGCCACTCTATGAAGCAGCATTTAAGGTAGCTATTGGAGAGGGTTCTTGATTGGGCCTTTATCACAAATAGGTAGGGAGAAGTAGATGCAATAGGTAACAATAAACTACATAACAACTCAAAATTGATCGCTGCATTTAAGTATTGCATTAATATTTAAGCCTACCTTTCAAAAGTTCAATGAGAAATTATTCTGCCACCAGTTAATTTAAAGACAATTTGATGTATGTAGGTCCTTACTTTCTGTACAAACAATTATTTTTATTTCATGCATGTCTTTTGCTGTTTTTTGCAATTAATTTTGATTATTCCCAAATTTATTTAAAAAAAAAAAAAAAAAAAAAAAAATTTTTTTTTAAATTTAAAAAATTAAAAAAATTTTTTAAAAATTAAAAAAAATATACTGCCAAAAACAATTACAGTCATAAAAACTTAGGAATCTAAAATTTCAGGATTGTGGGTCCAGATCTGCCACAGAATGTTTTTAATTTGCTTATGGAGTCAGCCTGATTCCCAAATAGTATATTATTCATTTAGAAATTCTTTAAAAATTGCTTTGGTTATGTTTCAGATACAATACTGAGCAGTTATGACTTAAAGAAATCTGAAAAAGTAAAAAGTGTTTAAAAAAAAAAAAAAAAAGCCAAAATAGAACCTTGCTTGATCTCAATGCTCATTGTGGCTGAGTGCTTAAATCACATCGGATATAATGGATGCCAGTTTGAATGCTACACAAGGAGGGGGCTAATTTTCTTTAATATGATTTCTCGAATGCTGAGATGAAATAAGATAAACGGAGAGAGTCTACTCAAATATAGGAATCCAAAGATACTGTTCAAAGTAATAAAAAGCCATATTTGTATAAATGTATTAAAAATAAAAAAAAAATAAAAATAAAATAAAAATCAAATAGTCCAGTTTTATATTTGATTTACATATTAAACTGAACAACTGTGTTCATACAGCCAAGCACAAAATCAGCGTAGGGTTTAACATTATACTTATAATATAAACTGAACCCTGACTTTAAAACCATTGCATGCAATCCCACTTTAAAAGTTAATTTTTCTCAAAAATGAAAAAAACCTGAAAGAAATGAATATCATATACAAAAGAAAGTAAAATCCATAAGAAAAATACATTTTTACTTAAACACAAAATTTTAAACCTATACAAGTGATCCCTTTTATGAGTGTACAGAAAGAAAAGAAAAGAGGACTTTGTAGGAAAAATATCTAGAAAATATCTAGAAAGAATTTATTTAATTCGAGCTTTGCATAGTCTGGCACAAGGCTTCAGTTTATTTTGAGCATTAAATGTTTCTGATGAGTGGTCCATCTAAGTAATGGTTGTGCCTAAAGTAAGAAAGATAAAAAAAAAAAACGGTGCAAAATCATAGATATGAAAGAAAACGAAAGAAGAGAGTGAAAAATGAAAAACAAGAAGAAGAGGAAAAAGGAGATAGAAAACAAAAATTGGTGACAGAGAAAAAAAATCAAGTGTGGGGAGGGAAGAAAAAAGAAAAAGAGAAAATGGAAAAAGCAGGAGAAAAAAATGAATGAAGGAAAAATGAAGAAAGAAGAAAGGAAAAATGAAGAAAGAAGAAAGGAAAAATGAAGAAAGAAGAAAGGAAAAATGAAGAAAGAAGAAAGGAAAAATGAAGAAAGAAGAAAGGAAAAATGAAGAAAGAAGAAAGGAAAAAAAATGAAGAAAGAAGAAAAGGAAAAAATGAAGAAAGAAGAAAGGAAAAAAATGAAGAAAGAAGAAAGGAAAATGAAGAAAGAAGAAAGGAAAATGAAGAAAGAAAGAAAGAAAAAAAGAAGAAAGAAGAAAGGAAAAATGAAGAAAGAAGAAAGGAAAAATGAAGGAAAGAAAGAAGGAAAAATGAAGAAAGAAAGAAGGAAAAATGAAGAAAGAAAGAAGGAAAAATGAAGAAAGAAAGAGGAAAATGAAGAAAGAAAGAAGGGAAAATGAAGAAAGAAAGAAGAAGGAAAAATGAAGAAAGAAAGAAGGAAGGGAAAATGAAGAAAGAAAGAAGGAAAATGAAAAATGAAGGAAAAATGAAAATGAAAGAAAGGAAGGAAAATGAAAAAAAGAAAGAAGGAAGGAAAAATGAAGAAAGAAAGAAGGAAGGAAAAATGAAGAAGGAAAATGAAGAAGGAAAGAAGGAAAAAAAATGAAGAAAGAAAGAAGGAAAAATGAAGAAAGAAAGAAGGAAAGAAGGAAAAATGAAGAAAGAAGGCGAAAAAGAAAACAATGGAGAAAGTGGGGAAAAAAAAGAAAAATGAAAAAAAAAACAGAAGAAAAATAGAGAAATGAAAAGAAATTTGTTTAATAATATTTAGTGACCTCATTTTGCAATCTGACAGAACCATGCCTTAGAAGGATCTAGAAATCTTAATAGCAGGAGGCATTTTGTGCCGAACCTAATCTAAATAAAGCTGGGATTTCAAAGATTAACATAGAAAAATATTTAGAGAAAATTAAAAAAAAAAAGCCTAATCAGCCCATATCTCTCTCTCTCTCTCATATATATATATATAGTTTGAATACCAGGAGAGTTTGTTGCATTCATTTAGAGGCAAATATCTTTGAGAATGGTATGAATCCATCTGATCTCCCCCAGTTATAGGTGAAATAGCAGGACAGTCTGAGCTCTATAGCCTTGGTTGGTAACCAGTTAAGATAAGGGAAACTGAATTCAAAACTTTTGGAGGGTCGTTTCCAAAACCTATATAATGATTCTATACTGTCAATGATTAACCCATCTCCTCCTGGCATTATTTGTTCTCCATCCTTTCTTCCCCGGCCTCCCTTTTTTTCAGGTATTTGTGCAGTCTGCCATCACCTCTGTTAAAATTACACTGGTAAATGGTACAGAGTTAATACAGCAGTTTACATTTATACCAGTTTTTAATCACCGGAAGTAAGCTGTGGTAGAAACGACAAAACACCGGTCACTGAGCCAGATCCTCAAAGCAACTAGACTTTGTACCGTAAGCATATTGGAATGCAGCTAGATGTTTAAAATAATATTTTAATCATTTCATCCCAAGAAAAATCAACAAAGCAACGAACTCGCAGATGCATATTTCTTGTTACTATGTTATATTTAGTAAACTGAATTTACCCTACCCGCCCCTAACACACTCATGAGCACTATTTACATTATTCGGACTATTGTCCTATCTTTGTCGCTATACCTTGGTAACTATCACTACCACCACTAGTACTGCTTTTTATCATTGTCATTATTATTATCATCATCATCATTTTTCTTGTTTTTTCATATATTTTTTTATTTATAAAGTCATCATATATTTATTCTTTATTATTCTTTTTTAATATTGCTTTTATTGTTATTATATGTTAGCTCTACCATGGATATTGAGCACTTTCCACTAAATACTGCGCATATATATATATATAAATATATATATATATATCAAATATGTAATGCAGTTCAATTTATATTTTTTATGAATGATTCATGTCATATATATATATATATATACACACACACACACACACTTAAAAAAAAATCAAAGTTTTGACAAAAACGTAATATTTGCGAAAGAATGGCTTAAATTAATAAAAAAAATCTCAATACGATTTTCAAGAGTGAAAATGTAGAACAATTTAAAACAAATAATTGGTGTTAGTGTTCCAGTTATTTTATATCTTATATATATATATAAGACATAAAATAACTTTGGTAACACCAATTATTTGTTTTAAATTATATATTGTTTTAAATGAAGTTCATCATAACAATTCAAACTATCAGTAAACAGCAGAGATTGTAAATAAAGCTGAGAGTTTATTCTTTATTTAAGACCCACAATGTTTATGAATGGTTTGAAATATAGCGATAATAAATTAGAAATAAAGAACTGTTATACTATTTACATTATTTGGAATATTGTCCTCATCTTTGTTGCCATATTTATTACAACGTTTCGGCCGTGGTACGCTCCGGCCTTCTTCAGGTGGTTGGAATGTCGAGCTGAACCCTTTATTTCGCTCACTGGGTTAGACTTTTCTAGTTGCACGTGCCATGTCTAATGGGTGTCAGTTATCTCCTGTTAATTTCCCTCTGATATTTCTCCACTGCCTTAACCAGGTATTGAACTCACAATGAAGAAGGCCGGAGCGTACAACGGCCGAAACGTTGTGATAAATATGGCGACAATGATGAGGACAATAGTCCGAATAATGTAAATAGTGTACATATTTCATTCAATTTAGCAAACCAATTGATAAAGTTTGAATAAGGTGATTTGTTTGAAAAAAATAGTTTGACAAAAACCCAACTTCGCAGTTTAATAATTTCTTTAATTTAATTTCATCGGAATTCATAATAAACTTTTTTTAAGATAATTTATTCTTTCACTTTTTCCTTTTTTTACCGGCAAAGAATAAATTCTTAAGATTTCTTACTCTTGAGCATGCAATACACAACTGGCCATGCGTAAATATTTCTTTCTGGAACCAAATTCAAACTTGTTGAACCGTTTGACCTTGCGATTTGTTTATAGTTCTCACAATTGCAGGGCAAACTGGAAACTAGATCCTTGTATATATAAAAATTTTAAGATACTCAAAAAAAAAAAAAAAAAAAAAAAAAAAAAAAAAAAAAAAAACAAAAAAAAACACAAAAAAAAAAAACAAAAAAAAACAAAAAAAAAAAAAAAACACAAAAAAAAACAAAAAAAAACACAAAAAAAAAAAAAAAAAAACAAAAAAAAAAAAAAAAAAAAAAAAAAAAAATATTGGATTTCTGTTAAATAAGTATTTGTTATTTTAATTATTAAATTGTTTTTTAAATTGTGGGAGTATGTTAAATAAAAAACAACTTAATTTTTCTCCCAAAATTAATGAAAATTTATTGTACTCAGCTACGCACTCTAGTAAAACCAACTGTACTTAGTACCCACCTACCTGTTTATACACCTCCCAAAATTTGGTTTTGATTGGTCAATGTATGGTTATTTGTGAGGGTGTGAGGGATGGACGGATTAATGGAAGTCACAGAATTATATATATCATATTGTCTTGTTTATATTATTTAATGAAACATGCATCAATGAAAAAATGCTATTGTTGTGTCCGTGTATTGTTTGATATGCTGTAATGTGATTGTCATCTTTGATAATGGCTTAAGCCGAAAGCTTAGACAGGATTAGAAAATATGTATCAATGTGGGAATTTTATTTCGTCTTTTAATGATAATATTATTAAGCTTATCAGACGATATGAAAAGAATTTACATAAAATAAATAGACAACACTTGTCTATATTATTTAATGAAGCATGCATCAATGAAAAATACTATTGTTTTGTCCGTGTATTGTTTAATATGTTGTAATATATAATAGATATTTCTGTTTAAATAAGCAAATCTGTTTTATTTATTTATTTGATATCTACCGGCCTGGGCAATCAAAAATTTAAATAAAGAGAATGTTCCTTTCAGTAGGGATCAAACCTGAATTCCGAAAAAAAAACCAAAAAAACAAAAAAAAAAAAAAAAAAAAAAAAAAAAAAACTACCTTTAAGTTAGATGTATTTTTAGTATATGAAATGTTGTGATTTGCCCCAATCAGTGTTTAAGGGGTTAAAATCATCTTACTGACCATTTAAAATGATAACATCTCCCTAACTCTTTTGAATACTTAATGCTCCCTTGATAGTTCATAATGATCCCAAGAGGATGTTTCTGTCCATATTGGGAAGGATGATCTACGAGGATAAGTAAAAAAATTATCTGCTCCTTTTTCTATAACATATCTTCAGGTTTGTCACATTGTCTTTTGCTCATGCGTGCTTATAGTTGGATTTATTGTGGTCATGTGATCAAAGTCTGAATTTGATCATGCCAGTTTTCTTGCTGCTTTTACAGTGTAAACATGGCCCCTCTGCTAGCAGTGTGCACCAAAGAGGAACAAAGTGAGACCAGTTCTGAAATCCTGAGACTGTCTATATTCAGACTAGATATAGCACATATCCCTTTGGAAATGTTCATAACTTGACAAATACCTGCATTTAGGGTAAAGTTATACCATATCTGAAATCTGGAAACACTTCTTTCAGATTAGACATAGAACCCTTTGGAAATCTTCAATTCTTGGCAGATACCTACAGTGAGGACAAAGTAAGACTAGTTCTGAAATCCTGAGTGTCTACTTTCGGACTACATATAAAATATGTCACTTAGGAGACATTAAAAATAATACCAAATATCTGCCCACAGTGTTATGGGGGCGGAGAGTCGACTATTTTCTGCTCTTTGCCAAAGTTTGTTTCAGGAAGTTGTTGGAAGATCCTGTGCCGTCCATGTCACCCTATCAGCCGCCACAGACATGAGTAAAGGTAAAAATGATTATAAACACTGACATTTCAAAAAAAAAAAAATACAATGATAACAGACGGTTAACAAAATCCATGAAAAAAAAAATGCAGCAAACTATATTATTTGAAATTCAACAACAATTATTACGAACCAAAATTTGAACTCCCCAGGATCTATAGAAGTTCGTAAAGGAAAGCTAGAAGAAAGGACTAACCATCAATTGTCAGACGACAGAATGCATGGTTGTCAGCAAAAGGGGAAGAGCCCAACATGTGAATTACAAATTGGAGATGCCAAAAATCAAACAATTGCATAAATTTAAATATCTAGCAAGTGTTTTAACCGAGGATGAACAATGCAACACTGAAATCCGAAGAGGCATTGGGATAGTGAAAGATGCCTTCCAACAGCTAAGCATAGTATTAAGAAACAAGAAAATATCATTAGAAACAAAGAAGCAAGTACTGAAATGTTAAGTAATATCAGCCCTTGTATATGGCAGTGATGATCTCCCCACAGATGAAGAAAAGACTTCAAGCAACAGAAATGTGGTTCACGATAGGAATGTTATCATGGAGTGAATTTGTGAACAACGAAGTTTTAATGAAAATAGAAACAAAATGACCCTCATACTTCACATTGGAAAGTGATAGTTGAAATTTCTAGGATACATAATGAGGAAAGAGGGCTTAGGAAATTTGACACTCACATTGCAGATTGAAGGGAAGTAGTTAAGGAAAGCTAGAAGAAAGGACTAACCATCAATTGTCAGATGACAGAATGCATGGTTGTCAGCAAAAAGGGAAGAGCCCAACATCTGAATTACAAATTGGAGATGCCAAAATCAAACAAACACACCATTGGTTTGGTTTGTTTTACGGCATATCAACGTCAATGGGTTATTTGATTCCGACAAAATTTTTATTTCTTGTAATATTTTTCTTCAAAAATGTATCGCTGATAATATTTTTTTTTCTTTCCAAAAATATATTGTTGGTAAATTTTTTTTTTTCCCCAAAAAGGTATTGCTTGTAATAATTTTCTTTTTCAAAAATACACCGCGGGCAGTAATTTTTCCAAAAACATTGCTGGTATCAAAACCTATTTTTATATTTTCATAGCGTTTTTGACCCCTTTTTTTGGGGGGGTAACTATTTGCCCATAGCTGGGTCCCAGCTATGGGCAAATAGTTCATTCTAAATTGGGGTCAAAACATAAAAATACATTAGAAAAATTACAGGCAATACATTTTCATAGTTTAAATAAAAAGAGAAAAAGAAGTAAAAGTCTTATGGTGGAGTAGCGGCCCGGATTGAGGAATTGGAGAGCCGAGTTCGAAATCCAGTCGAATCCATTACATTCACTTACGTCCTAATACCCTTGGGAAAGGTATGAATCCTCTCTTCCTCCACAGCTATTGGTAAATAGCAGGACAGACCGGGTTCTATCGCATTGGATGGAAACTGGTCTAAATGGCAACCTACTGCGAGAAAAAAAATCTACCTCGTCATTCATGTATCTTTCGATACATGATCGCCTAAGCGTGTATCACGCATGGCACATAACTGAGTAAAAAAAAAAAAATTAAAATTACCAAAAATTATGTTTTGGGGAAAAAAATACCAAAGCTCATAAGAAAATAAAATTTCGGCATTAAATGACCCATTAGGAATTGATATGTTGTTAAACAAACCAAAACAAATATTGGCATTAATCGCTTCCCAACTACTCCCTTTTTAGATGGAATTTTTGATTTTTACAGGTTATCAACTCTGTAGGTTGTTTGAAGTCGAAACTTTTTGAATTTAAAAATTCTTTTTATTTTTTCATTTTCATATAAATATTACATTAAAAGACATTTTGGAGATTTCTTCCAGTTACAAGTCTGATATAATCCGTAGTTGAGATAGATTCACAACTTTCCCGAGGGTAAGTGAATGTAAAGAATTTGACTGGAATTCGAACTCGACTCGACGATTTCTCATTCAGAACCGCTATCAATCACCCAACCTGCACAACATTTTGAGACAGGAATAAGAATAATAATTTGTATAACTTTTAGAAGGTTCTGAGCTTATCGACAATTCATTTCTTTGATTAGCATAAAATGAGGAAAATTGCCAAAGGTGAAAGATGTCGTTTGAAAAAAAGTGTACAAAAAGATATTTACTTTATGATGCAATGAAACCAATGGACCACAAGAACACTACTAAAACACGTTTACAAGCTCAACCAAGGTTATCAAGGGAGGTAGATATAGCTGTAGACTTGTATACAGGCGAACGAGGAGACTCAGACATAAACTGGCATTGGACCATGTGTGTCAAATTCCTAAACATCTATTCGTAGAAAATGTCTGCGTAAACAAAACAGAAGGAAATTCTTCAAGTACAATTATGTGGTTAGTTTAAGATCCTGGTTTTAGAAGGGTTGAGCTGGCCTAATATTTATTTTATGTGCCATATCATTGCAGGGCATTGCATATCGTGGCTCTCCACACCTTCTGTTTTTGTTGCATTTCGTTTGATTTATTTTACGGCATATCAACCTCAATGGGTCATTTAATGCCGACAAGATTTTTATTGCTAGTAATATTTCTTTTCAAAAATCTATTTTTGGTATTTTTTTTTACAAAAACATATTGCTGGTATTAAAAATCTATGTTTACACATTCATACTGTTTTGATCCCAGTTTGGGGGTTAACTATTTGACCATACTTGTGACCCTAACTGGTGCTACTACTCCGGGTCAGGGTAGAGCTGGGAACACCAGCAATTAAGAGGTGGTTTCACGCTCCTCAAAACCTCCTGATCAGAGGCCTTGCTGTTGGATAAAGTTTATCGTCTTACCCAGAGCGCAGATGTAGTTTATCGTCATAACCTGGACAGGCTTTTGTTGCTCTAAGCAAAAACTATTAACCCTTTACCACTTTGTTTAAGCGATTTTAAAATTGATATGTTTTGTTTTGTTTGTTTAACGGCATATCAACATCCTTATGGGTCATTTAATGCCAAAATTTAACTTTCTTGGGAGCTTTGAAGCAATAAAAATATGATGTATGTTATTCTGCTTTCACAGTTGAATACATGGTAGATGATACTCAGCTCTTGTGCATATAAATGTTTGTGTGGACATAATTACTAGAGGCGGTGATATGTGATTTTTATGTTGGAGTTTTGTTGAAGTTATATTTTTGAATACAGTTCTATTTAAGAAATTGTAGGATATATGGATTAATATAATGAAAGAGTTCTCTCATGTTGGTTGTTTTGTTGATTTTGTTTAGCGGCATATCAACACCTTTATGGGTTATCTAATACTGAAATGTAAATATTCTTAATGCAATAGTATGCCTTCAACTATAGATAAAATGTATTGTTGGTCAATTTACTATAAGTATTGTTGTTAATTTTTTTTAAAGAAAAATATTTTATTGGGTATATTGGTATTTTTACTATAAATGTATTTTTATACTTACATAGTGTTTTGCTTTTGTTTGTGGGGGTTACTATTTTCCCATAGCTGCGACCCCTCAACAGGTGCTACAACTCCGGGTCAGGGTGGACCTGGGAACAACAGCAATTAATTGCTGCAAGATGTAGTTTATCGTCATACCGAGGGACTAACGGACATGTTAAAACAGGACAAATATTAACAGCACAAAAAAGAGTGGTAACAAAATTAACATTACTTTTAAGTTGTAATATTCAAATACAGCACGATTAACAAAATAGATAACTAAACCGGTTTATCAATCCTCTCACATTAGGGCTAAATCGAGAATGAAATATATACACAGCGACTAAAAATAAACACCAAAGACCAAATGTTATATAAGAATATATAACACTTGCAGGCTAATTACGTATAAACAGATTGTAAAATCTTTATTTTACGGTGTTGAAATTTGTTTAGATTAAGACCGACCAGCCATCTCTTTATAAGCAGAAAGGGTGGTTGGTAGGTTTAAACGTAATTAGCCTTTAAGTGCTAGATTTCTTTTATATAATATTTGATCTTTGGCGTTTATTTTTAATCGTTGTATACATTTTTCGTATTCGATTTCGCCCCAGTGAGAGATAATCTGATTGAGCTGTCTTTTTGCTAATCGGGTAGTATTGAGTTCGCCAAAAAGTTAATTTGATTTATTAATTAATATTTTTACTTACTAAACGGGCGATCTTTTAACCAACCTAATATTTGGATATTGCCACTTTGCGGTAATATTCTTATACCTGTCTTTTTTGTTATCAAGACAGTGAAAGGGCTCTCAGAAAAAAAAAAAAAAATCAACCGGCAAACAGTTCATATCCCACTTGTGTCTGCTTGTTTTAACTTAGCATTAATACCACTGGGAAAAGCATGAAACTAATTTTCCCTATAATCTATTTTGTCATCAGTTGACAGAACAATCTTGGCACTAGCATGCGGCATTATCCTACAGAATAGGTGAGTGATTACACTCTCCCAGAATTATCTCACGACCCAAACTGGAGTAAAAAAGTTTTTTAAAAAATGAAGCTCTTACACCTATTCTCAACCTTGACAGTATCGAGTCATGCATATGAGCCCCTGGTGTTAAAGAATCGATAAAATGGGTTAATGTAAACTTCTCTCAGTTAAGCCTACTTAAACCAGGTATGTTGCATGCTGATGTCAACATATGCATTATTCTTTTTCTTCTTCTAGTGTTGTGTACGAACGATGAGATGCAGAGCCCTAGAATACACATCTGTGTACAAACTGGCAGGCTGGAGGTTTGACTATAAATAGCTATTTCTCATCTTGCAGTTTCTATTCATCACTGCACAGACGCATCTGCAACTGCTTCAGACAGACAGACAGAGATACTTACCTATAAAAAAAAAGCCTGACACGTTAAAAAATATAGACTTTCTGTTGTTCTTACTCATCCCTTTTATAGACGTTGATGATAGAGAAAGATTACAGATAAGTTGAAGATCTACTATTAGATACTGCTGGCATTTTGCACAAAAGGAATGCAAGTTGGTATCTGTTGTAGTCTTTAGGTTGTCTGAATTACTTAGGTGGAGCATTGTCACTATTATTAATTTTTGGCTCGGCTCTCTTTCATTTGAGTTTGGTTTCTTGCGTTCATAGAATAGATGTCGTCTCAAGTCTCCCACGTTGCTGTCACGACCGCATTCCTACCGCGGCGAGACGGACGCGGACGCATTCCTTGAGAGAGCGACACGGACGCATTCCTTGAGAGAGCGACACGGACGCATTCCTACCGCGGCGACGCGGACGCATTCCTTGAGAGAGCGACACGCACGCATTCCTTGAGAGAGCGACACGCACGCATTCCTTTGAGAGAGCGACGCGGACGCGGACGCATTCCTACCGCGGCGACACTGACGCGGACGCATTCCTACCGCGGCGACACGGACGCGGACGCATTCCTACCGCGGCGACACGGACGCGGACGCATTCCTTGAGAGAGCGACACGGACGCGGACGCATTCCTTGAGAGAGCGACACGGACACGGACGCGGACGCATTCCTACCGAGGCGGCACGGACGCGGACGCATTCCTACCGAGGCGAGAGAGACACAAACGCAATAGATAATTCTACATCTACTAATTAAGTAAAAAATATCTAAATTCTGTGAATTCATTTCTTGTATATAAAAAAGGGCTGAAGTCACTGTTTATTGTCACATATTTCATCTACCCATGGGTCCAGTTTATACAATGATGGAACTTTCATGAGATTACAAAGCTAAATTTCTTCAAGGGTGAACTGCCACAGAGAAGCTTTTATTAATTTTTTTTTTTTATTATCTTATTTTTTGCTACTCGTTTACATTTAGTAATAGTTTTAAGTTTGCTAAATATGACCGTGATCGCTTTCCATCCAGGAGACCTGGGATCGAACCTCCCCACGGTTGATTTGTCAGGAAAATGACTTCTTGAAATTATTGTCGATCCCAACGTGTGGCCTGAAAATCCATACCACAGGGTCGACCCAAGGATTTTGAGTGAAATTGGTTGTACGAGCCCGACATTACAAGTCAATCTCATCGTGATCGAGGGTTTACTGGCCATCTTCAAACTGTTGATCTCACCGGATGATGCACCTTATTAAGGTCCGCTCAGCATCGTTGCAGTATAAACGACGTGTGGGTGTTGAAGTACTTGTAGTAGGGATTAGCTAGTTACTACTAACAGTCAGGCGAACTCAGAAACTAGTCGCTGGCCATTACATTTATACACATACACACATATAATGGCCAGCGACTAAAAATGTTGGTAAATACTAATATAGCTACAACAGATACTAACAAAAAAAATTAAGTTACTACACCAAATCTAGTATATCCAACTCAATTATTCGCAATGATTATTCCCCCTCCCCGTTAGCGATTTGCAAAAACGAACATAGTTTATCAAATTCAAGTGCCCTCAGGGAGATTGTATCTCCAATGGATTAAATAATATTTATGTTGGCCACACCACAAACTCGCTTTTACGACGCTTTACTCTACATTTGAATGACAATTCTAACATTTTTAGGCATTTAAAACAACATGCCTGGCCGCGTAAACAATTCCGGAAAATCCTTGTTGAAAACAATTACACTTAAACATAAAAGCAATAAAACAAAAATTAAAAATTCTTGAAGCTATATACATAAAACAGTTGAAACCTAATCTGAACAAAATAAATTATGAAAACTCCACAAATATACTTAAATGTCTAAATGATAATAGAAGCCATTGGTTTATACTAATGTTTTCCCATACTTAAGAATCCTCGTTTTCGTTTTCATTCAACGCGTGGTCATGTGTGACGTCATGGGCCTAGGTGCAATTTTCGCTTCCAGCGTCTCGTATGCACGAGTTTGTCGTTGCTTGGAAATCGTCCATGCAAACAAAACAGACTATCAGTGTTATGTCCGTGTACTGTTTAATATATTTTAATGTTATTGTCATCTTTGATAATGGCTTATGTAAGACAGAAGTTTAGATAGGATTAAAACATATCAATATGGTGATTTTCTTTCGTCTTTTAATGATAATGTTATTAACCTTATCAGACGATATGAAAGGAAATTGTTAAAATAGACAAAACTTGTCTATATCATTTTATGAAACATGCATATATAAATAAATATAAATAAATATATATATATATATATATATATATATATATATATATATATATATATATATATATATAAATAAAAAAAAAGAAAGAACAGTAAGATATAAAATCCGGTTCTTATAGTTTTTTATTTTTAAAAAATAGTGCTTATAGATTATTTTAAATTTTATTTAAAATAGTATATATATCAATGTTTCAAAATAGAACAAAAGAAAGCATTAATATTATAAATTAATTGATTTAAAATATGTTTTTTTTATATATATATATATATAAATTAATTGAGTTTTTTTTCAACCATGTTTCAAAAATAGAAGCTAAAACCCTGAATTTAATTTAAATTTAAAAGCAAAATTTCAAATTCACTGGGTTTTAAAGACACAGCTAAAATCACGTTTCCATATTACAGAATATTCTATTTAAATTGAACAAGAGGTGTCGGTTTTCCTTATGTCAGTATCATTGTATCAATTATTAGCTACAATTTGTAAGGGGTAGGGATGTATTTTACAATGAAACCTGACATCAGTTGAATGGATGTCGTCTGAATTTTTAAAAAAAAATTGTTAACGGTAAAAAAATTTTCAACGTCATTTTTTAAATTTAAAGATTTTCGGGTTTTTTTTTTTTTTCTAATACTTTTTATTTAACTACGATTTGAAATATTCTCCTTTTTAATTTTTATTTTACTATATTCTTTTTAAGAACAGTTAAATGTATTAGAATCCATTATATTATGTAGGATTATTTTAACATCAAGTTTAAGTATGTATATGAGGTTACATTTTTTTTTTTTTTTATAAATATATGACTATGACGGCAAAAATGGTTACTTAATTTCACTGATTCAGTAAACTTTTATTTTATATATAAACCTAGTATTATAATATTTCTCATGTTAGTACTAAGGACATGGGTCATTCAAAAGCTTACATCTTATGGCATTTCATATTAATTTTATTTTACTATTAGGTGTTATTTTTGGATTCTTTTTAGTGCGTGTAGTATTATTTAAAAGAAATTTAGGTTAGAATTCATTCAATTTAACTACAATTTCAAAATTACAACTTTAAAATTTTTAAAATATTTTCATTGTTTAGTTTTAATAGACTATATTACTTTATAACAGAAGGAAAATTACTCATAGTAAGTAAAATTATTTTTCCATATCAAAGTATATGTAAATTACAATTTTTTTTTTTTATAAACTTTTAAATTTAAATATTATTTAAGTAATATTAATGGCCCAGACTACAAAACTAGCTAAGTCATTTCTCAGATTTAGTAAACTTTATTAATTAATTTATTTATTTCAAATATATGTAACCTAAGTAATAAAGATTCATATGTATGTATAAAAAACAGGTTAGAATTCATTTTATTTAACTACAATTTTATATATATATATATATATATATATATATATATATCTCCCCCTATATACAGTTTTTCTCTCTCATTCACTATGTATCCGCCTACAAACCAGTGGCATCCCGGCCTTGCTTGGGGTGAAATGCTTAAAGAAAAAAAAAAAAACAGCACTTGAAGACTACCGACTACGACTAAAATGGATAGCACATTATTTTCTCTTGGAGAAAATAATGACATAATGAAGATGTTGATGTCCCGCATTTGTTTTCGATAAATTCAGTGTCTATGAGATTAAATCGAAGTTATTGTCTGATCGACGAATCAGGGACATGAGAAATCAAATACAGAAATTGAATTATATTGGGAGTGTCGTGAAATCCAAAAGGCGTATATAAATAGCGAAAGGTGCCTTCCGGAAACTAAGCAAGGTATTAAGAAATAGGAAAATGAAAATGCTGAGCCTATGTGTAATATCTAGTCTCCTATATGACATTGCAATGGAATGAAGCTTGAGCAGCATTCAATGTCAAGTATTTCTCGGACATGCATTTGAAATTATTCAGTGTCTGGGTTAAAATACCATCCACTGGATAATACATTAAGCTCTAAATATCATCAAGTGTTTTTTAAAGTATCTTTGTATTAAAAAGAGAGAAAAAGAAAAGAAAAACACAAATAGAGAGAGAGAGAATAGGGGGAAAGCAAAAAGCGAGAGAGAGAGAATAGGGGGAAAGCAAAAAGCGAGAGAGAGAGAATAGGGGGAAAGCAAAAAGCGAGAGAGAGAGAATAGGGGGAAAGCAAAAAGCGAGAGAGAGAGAATAGGGGGAAAGCAAAAAGCGAGAGAGAGAGAATAGGGGAAAGCAAAAGCGAGAGAGAGAGAATAGGGGAAAGCAAAAAGAGAGAGAGAGAATAGGGAAAGCAAAAGGAGGAGAGAGAGAATAGGGGGAAAGCAAAAAGGAGAGAGAGAGAGAAAAGGGGAGAAGAAAAAAGCAAAAGAGAGAGAGAGAATAGGGGGAAAGCAAAAAGCGAGAGAGAGAGAATAGGGGAAAGAAAAAGAGAGAGAGAGAGAATAAAAGGGGAAAGAAGAGAGAGAGAATAGGGAAAGCAAAAAAGAGAGAGAGAATAGGGGAAAGCAAAAGAGAGAGAGAGAGAATAGGGGAAAGGAAAAGAGAGAGAGAATAGGGGAAAGCAAAAGAGAGAGAATAGGGGAAAAGCAAAAGAGAGAGAGAGAATAGGGGAAAGCAAAAGGAGAGAGAGAGAATAGGGGAAAGCAAAAGAGAGAGAGAGAATAGGGGAAAGCAAAAAGAGAGAGAGAAATAGGGGAAAGCAAAAAAAGAGAGAGAGAAATAGGGGGAAGAAAAAGAGAGAGAGAAAGGGGAAGCAAAAGAGAGAGAGAGAGAATAGGGGAAAGCAAAAGAGAGAGAGAGAAAGAGGGGAAAAGCAAAAGGAGAGAGAGAGAGAATAAAAGAAAAAGAGAGAGAGAGAGAAGGGGAAAAAAAGAGAGAGAGAGAAAGGGGAAAGAAAAGAGAGAGAGAGAATAGGGGAAAGCAAAAAGAGAGAGAGGAATGGGGAAAGAAGAGAGAATGGGGGAAAGAGAGAGAAAAGGGAAAGGAAAGAGAGGGAAAGGAAAGAGAGGGAAAAGGGAAAAGGAAAGAGAGGGGAAAGGAGAAAAGAGAGAAAGAAAGAGAGGGGAAAGGAAAGAGAGGGGAAAGGAAAGAGAGGGGGAAAGGAAAGAGAGAGGGAAAGGAAAGAGAGGGGAAAGAGAGAGAGGGAAAGCTAAAGAGAGGGGAAAGCGAAAGAGAGGGGAAAGCGAAAGAGAGAGGGGAAAGCGAAAGAGAGAGGGGAAAGCTAAAGAGAGAGGGGGAAGAGAGGGAAAGAAAGAAAAGGAAAGCAAGAGAGAGAGAGGGAAACAAAAAGAGCGAGAGAGGGGAGAGAGGAGCAAAAGGAGAGAGAGAGAGAGAGGGGAAAGCAAAAGGAGGAGAGAGAGAGAGAGAGGGAAAGCAAAAAGCGAGCGAGAGAGAGAGAGAGGGGGCAAAGCAAAGCGAGAGAGAGAGGAGAGAGGAAAGCAAAAAGCGAGAGAGAGAGAGAGAGAGAGGGAAAGCAAAAAGCGAGCGAGAGAGAGAGAGAGAGGGAAAGCAAAAAGCGAGCGAGAGAGAGAGAGAGAGGGAAAGCAAAAAGCGAGCTAGAGAGAGGGAAAGCAAAAGCGAAAGAGAGAGAGAGAAAGGGAAAGCGAAAAAGAGAGAGAGGGAAAGCAAAAGGAGGAGAGAGGAAAGCAAAAAAGAGAGCGAGAGAGGAAAGCAAAAGGAGGAGAGAGAGAGAAAAGCGAGAGAGAGGGGAAAGCAAAAAGGAGAGGAGAGAGAGGGAAAGCAAAAAGAGAGAGGGAAAGCAAAAAAGGAGCGAGAGAGAGAGAGAGAAAGAAAGAGAAAAGGAAAAGGAGAGAGAGAGAGAGAGAGGGGAAGCAAAAGGAGAGAGAGAGAGAGAGAGAGAAAAGAGAGAGAGAGAGAGGGAAAGAAAAGGAGAGAGAGAGAGAGAGAGAGGAAAGAGAGAGAGAGAGAGAAGAGAGGGAAAGAAAAAGAGAGAGAGAGAGAGAGGGAAAGCAAAAGGAGAGAGAGAGAGAGAGAGGAAAGCAAAAGGAGAGAGAGAGAGAGAGAGAGGAAAGCAAAAAGGAGAGAGAGAGAGGAAAGCAAAAGCGAGAGAGAGAGAGAGGGAAATCAAAAGCGAGCGAGAGAGAGAGAGGGAAATCAAAAGCGAGAGAGAGAGAGAGAGAGGGAAAAGGAGAGAGAGAGAGAGAAAGAAAAGAGAGAGAGAGGGAAAGGAGAGAGAGAGGGAAAGCAAAAGGAGCGAGAGAGAGAGGGAAAGCAAAAGGAGAAAGAGAGAGGGGAAAGCAAAAGGAGCGAGAGAGAGGGAAAAGCAAAAGGAGGAGAGAGAGAGGGAAAGCAAAAAGCGAGCGAGAGAGAGGGAAAGCAAAAAGCGAGCGAGAGAAAGAAAAGGGAGAGAGAGGAAAGCAAAAGGAGCGAGAGAGAGGGAAAGAAAGAGCGAAAGAGGGAGCGAAAAGAGAGAGGGAAAGCAAAAAGGAGCGAGAGAGAAAGGAAAGCAAAAAGGAGAGAGGGAAAGCAAAAAGAAAGAGAGAGGGAAGAAAAAAAGAAAGAGAGAGAAAAGCGAGCAAAAGCGAGAGAGAGAGGGAAAGCAAAGGAAGAGAGGGGAAAGAAAAGCGAGAGAGAGAAAGGGAAAGCAAAAAGCGAGAGGGAGAAAGAGGGAAAGCAAAAAGGAGCGAGAAAGAGAAAGGGAAAGCAAAAGGAGAAGAGAGAAAGGGAAAGCAAAAGCGAGAAAGAAAGAAAGGGAAAGCAAAAGGAGCGAGAAAGAAAGGGAAAGCAAAAAGGAGAAAGAAAGGGAAAGAAAAAAGAGAGAAAGAAAGGGAAAGCAAAAGGAGAAAAAAGGGAAAGCAAAAGGAGAAAAAAAGGGAAAGGAAAAGGAAAAGCGAAAGAAAAGAAAAGGGGGAAAGCAAAAAGCGAGAAAGAAAGGGGAAAGCAAAAAGCGAGAAAGAAAGGGGAAAGCAAAAAGAGAAAAAGGAATTGTTTCTTGTCCATTAAAAAAACATTTATTACTTGGTTGATATTTACATATGGTCTTTATTTCTCTTTGTTATATCTTTCTTTTATTTGTGTTACGGCGGTGCCCTTTGGATAAAATTGGCCTTGACAAAAACAATTTTGAAAATTGTGTTTTTCAGCCGACATTTCTGTTGCTGCTCACCCACCGCCGTGAAACCCCAATCTACCTAATCAGGGCAGTTATGGGAAGCCATGAAGTTTGAGCATCATGGGGAAATCATAGAACTGTTAGCGATGCATAATACGATAGGAAAAGCGTCGACTGACATGACAGCGTTTCATCTGGGATAGGATAAAAAGACTATCCTATCCGGGCGATAGTTAACTTTGGCGGCAAATATGATTCTTGGAGAAGATAAACAACACATGTGTACGGAATAGATTTTATTAAACAGCACAAGAAACAGTTGCAAAAATGACCTTGAATACTTTGTAACAGGATCATTGGCAGATCGAGAGGCAAGCAAGAAGAATTGGTCCGTCAGTCTTTTATTTTAGTGTATTATCATGCAAAATTAGTTGTCATTTTTTAATCGTATCCCAAAAATTGTGATAAAGTTTTTGCGGACATGAATGCCAGAAAAATGATTTCAAATTACAGTGTTTTTTACGTCTTATTTTGATTTTTTTTAATCATTTCTTCCCAAGCAAGGTGATAAAGCCACTGAGATTCAAGCGGTTACTGGGAGTGGAAGGGAATGAGAAGACTTTAGTGAGGAGAAAGGACAATAAAAAAAGAAACAAAATTACAATAATATTGTCTATATCTATAATTCTCAAAATGTGTGTGTGTGTGTGTGTGTGTGTGTGTATGTGATATCGGATGTTGTTTATGCGTTTCCACAGTTTTCATCCGAACGCTTCTGTGCGCGAGGCTGAAAATGATCAAAGTACTCAATGGCTGAGGAGAAACGCCTCTTCAACTGCTGTTGCGCGTTAGGCTGAATCAAGATTGCAGTCGCAAAAACGGCCCTTTTCAGGGCCACCCTCCATTCAAATTGTTAACCCCCACCCATTTGGTGGGCGTTAACAGTACATTAAAAGCCAAAAAAAAAAAAAATTACCCCCCCCCAAAAAAAAAACCCCCACCAAAACCTATTCCAATATTGGAGAATTGAATAACAAAGTTCGTCGTCTAAGAGTACTTCATCAGATGAAATACTCTTAGAGGACAAAACACGCCACAGAATTTTTCCATTTTCTCAATTTTACTAGACATAAAACATGGCAAAAATTCATCATCAGCGACATCAACAACGAGAATTAATTGAGAGGAGACAGCATTTTTTTTTTTTTTTTGCATTTCCCTCAAAGATATTCTTGTAAACCTCTTGATTTTTAATCGGGTCAAATTATTTTTAAACATGTTCTTCAGAAAGATTAAAGTAAATTCTTTAAGTTGTATTAATGTACTTATTCCCGTTGATGTCTCCGATTACAATTGGCATCTGACTTCATATGATTTTATCAACGTTCTTCCGAACAAGATTTGAAAAAGCTTACAACCCTTTCATTCTGGAAATTGGTAACTTCAGTTCAAATTCGAAGTTTTCGCAAACTCTTCATCTATACTTTTCTGTCCTTTGCCGACATATTGAGAATAAATTTTTCAGCAACAAACCTACGCTTCCGACATTCTATATACATTTGCACTCACGATAAGAAACTATTCACTTATCGTATCACAACATTAGACATATTCATGCATATTTTAATAAATCAATGAATAACTCTTTAATTTAAAAATAAAATAAACAGCTCTGTGTTTTGTTTGCTGTGGTGTAACCAGTCGTGCTGTGGGAACGCGTACAAATGGCGTTCTCTCATATTAAAAATAACGTTTGGAATGCCGTCAGCACACGCTCGCATCCGAGCATCGGGATAGTCATACTCTCTTCTTATTCCTTTTCTCCCCTCTGGAGGTGGTGAAGGCCCAGTCTCCTGAAGAGTTGTGAGCAGAGGAATGTGGATGGGGGACGAGTCATGTTGACGGTTGGACTCAAAAGTCTCGGTCTCCCCTAGTATGTTCCTACATTCGAGGGGAGACCAGCAAGGCAGCAACAGTTTCCCCTGGTCTCAGGTTTGATGTTGGCCTGTGACAATGTCCACGATTTCTCCAAACAGGATGATACGTGGGAGTTGAGTGGGAGGCATTTTTGGTCATATGACCCGCCCAGCGGAGGTGATGGTAAAGGATGGTAGCCATGATGCTAGGGAGAGATGTCCGTGAGAGGACCTCGTTGTTGGTGATGCAGTCAGTCAGTTAGGTGATCATGACTGACGAGGCAGATTTTTTGTTGCCATCCAAGGCTATAGAACCCGGTCAATCATACTATTTACCCATAGGGGAGAAGAGGAGGATTCATAATTTCCCAAGGGTATTAGCACGTAAGTGAATGTAATGGATTCGACTGGAATTCGAACTCGGCTTTCCGATTCCTCAATCCGAGGTGATGCTGTCCTCCTTATTGATGTAAAGGTCTCTTCGGAGTTTCGTTTGCTAGAACCCCTCCAGACCTTTGATGTCACGACGATATAAAGTCCAGGCCTCGCAAGCGTACAGAAGGGTGTAGAGGCGCACGGCCTGGAAGACCAGGATTTTGTTTTTTATGGTGAGGCCTTGATTGCTGAAGACACAATGTGAGAGCGATCCGTACGCAGTACGAGCCGCGTTGATTCTGTTCCTCTTCTCGCTTGGAGGACAAAGTTTTACTCAAGAAATCGATTTTTAGAGAAATTTTGCTTATTTTATCAGATATCAGGATTCAAAATTGAGAAATATATGATCAAAAGGTATCGGGACTGGTACTATAAAAAGAAAACTACAACACCTATCAATTCAGCATTTAATCTCCTTCGAAGTAGTTCCCTTCTGAAGCCAAACACTTTATCCAGCGTCGTTTCCATTGATGAAAGCATTCCTGGAACTCGTTTTCGGTAGTAGCAAGCAACTGCCTTGTCGCATTCTCTTGGATTTCCTCGATGTCTTGAAATCTTGTTCCTTTCAAGTGAGATTTGATTTTTGAAAAGAAAAAATATCGCAAGAAGCGAGATTTGTTGAATATGGTGGTTGTCGGAGCTGGTGAATGTTGTGCTTGTACAAAAACTGCTTCACAAGCCATGGTCAATGATAGAAATTCTGTGGTGTCATGAGACGACCACACAATACACACTTTCCTTCCAAGCAATGCTATGAATACGGAAGTGAGCGAAAATGGTATAACTTAGTGCGCAACAGAGTTCAAAGTCGCTCTGTCACAAACAGCTTCATTCTGGGTACTTTAGCTCAGTTACTATAGCAACAGTTCCGATACTTTTTGGTCAGACCACGTATAAAGTATTTACGCATTTATATATATATATATATATATATATATATATATATGAGAGAGTGTACGATAGCTTTGAATTGAGTAATAATAATATTAGCCGTTTCCCTACAAGGAAATATTTGGCGTTCATTGACCAAACAGATAGTACTGATTTCTATTTAAATTTATAAAATCTTTAAAAACAATTTTTCAGGTAAACGGGTGGTGTATAGATAGCGTCGCAGAATGAGAAATCTGAGAGCCGAGTTCGAATTCCGGCCGATTTCGTTATATTCACTTTCGCGCAAATACCCTTTGGAAATGTATGAATCCATTTTCTGCACCCACTTATAGGTTAAATAGCAGGACTTGAATTTGGGAAAAAAATCATTGTAATTCTAAAAAAATTGTTAATGCAATTATTCTTACAATCCAAAATATATTTTGGTTTTAAATAAACCTCAAAGGGTTGACAAGCCGTAAAGAAAAAAAAAACAAATCAATATCTATCAACATTCCTTATAAGGAAACATTCAGTAATAATTAATTGAGAAGCCAGTAGTGTCCTGTTGATATTGTTAATCATATATATGTTGGTAGTCCTCAAGTGATGTGGTTTCAGTTATTTAGTACAATTCTTTGTATGTGGTTCTGTAGCACCAGTCCCCAAGCTCCACTTAATGACATTTTAACCATTGATCTTAGAAAGTGGTTGTATACGGCTGACACTTTAGATAATTATGGTAAACGCATATTTTATCCGCGGGAAATTCAACCCGAACGCTTCAGCCTCGTTTTGGTTTTAAAAACAAAAATGATTTACACGATGGATTTAAAATGACGAAGAATCAAAAACATAAATCTTTTTTTTAGAAGGTCGAGTAATGATGTCCTCTTCACAAAGCAATGAAATCTTCAGTTTAAAGCAGCGTTTCTCTACCTCTTATCCTTGTGCCAGCCTTGAAATAGTTTTCATATCGCAGAAAACCCCTGCATAAACATTATTACATACCATTATATATATATATATATATATATATATATATATATATATATATATATATATATATATATATATTTATTCGAAAATTATAGCAAAAATGTTATAAAATCACTACAAAAGTAGCCATTTTGTTTCAACACCATCACTTGAGAAGACACCAGAAATGTTGAAACAAAATGGCTATTTTTGTAGTGATTTTATAACATTTTTATGTTATAATTTTCGAATAAAAGATCAAATTTGCTCTACTCTGTATTGAGCACTTTTTAAAGAATGGTATTTGTTGGTTATTGAAATTTATTTTGTATCCTGTACTTGAATATATATCTTTTATAATTTTATCGTCGTTCACGTGGTAAACAGACTATATGAACACTCGTCCTGTACTCGAGTGAGTTACTCAATGATACAAGAATCCGCCACGTACAGGTCCTGTCCACGAAGCAGTGACGTCATACAGTCATCGCTTAATATATTCCCTATGATTTTAAATAAACATAAAGAGTTGAAGCTTTTATTATAATAACCAAGGATTTTCCAACAATATATCGCACGTGTATAGTAAAATAACGAATATAAAATTAAAAAAGATTCACAACTGCATTAGCCTAGTTATCACCGTTTCGCGCGCAAACCCTGGCGACCTCTTCCGGAACTATAAGATTCCGGAACATCTGCTGAGAAACACCGGTTTAAACCATCACGCAATTGCTTCTCATCCCTGCCAACTGTAAAATTTAGATGGATTGAAAGAAGGAATGAAGGAGAAAAAGATGAGGAAGAAGGAGGCCATGTTGATGAGGAAGAATATAGAATCTCTCAATACGTAGCGGAAACACCAGAACAGATGTGACAGCAATATTTAAAGTGTTATTTACAAGTTTACTGAAGATGAGAAAGCACACTGATTTGCAGGTCGAAGCAGCTCTCATGGTGAAGATTATTTATTCAAAATGAGAGGTAACTACCTCCTATTGACAGAAAAGTTAAAACAGTTTAATTTATCAACAATTAGTTTAATGTATCAACCAATTTCTTAATTGGTCAATGCTGCTTATTCGATTTAGATGGATTGGAAGGAGAAGAAAGTGATGTTGTTAGTCATTATTATTAAAGTTGATTCGTATTTAATTTCGTCTCAATATTTTTAGTTACTTATTAGAATTTGATTCGGGCCGTTAATCTATCGTCGCGAGGAAACAACACAGGATGGAAAATAATGAACAAAAAATCGCATGTTTTTCATTAGTACACAGTTTTTGTTTCTTAGCAACTGTATGCTGTATTTAAACTTCAATTTAATGCATCGGCCAATTTGTTAATAAGAGGATGAAGCTATCTAATCATGCAAATCATAAAAGCAACCAAGAGTTTAACAGATTAAAAAGCGAACGAGAGAGGAAGCGGAAAAAGAAGAGGAAGCCGAAGGAGAGGAAGATAAAGGGGGGAAAGAGGAAGAATAAAGGAGAGGAAGATAAAGGGGGGAAAGAGGAAGAATAAAGGAGAGGAAGATAAAGGGGGGAAAGAGGAAGAATAAAGGAGAGGAAGAATAAAGGAGAGGAAGATAAAGGGGGAAAGAGGAAGAATAAAGGAGAGGAAGATAAAGGGGAAGGGAAGATAAAGGGGAAAGAGGAAGCCGAAGGAAGATAAAGGGGGGAAAGAGGAAGCCGAAGGAAGATAAAGGGGGGGAAAGAGGAAGCCGAAGGAAGATAAAGGGGAAAGAGGAAGCCGAAGGAAGATAAAGGGGGGAAGAGGAAGCCGAAGGAAGATAAAGGGGGGAAAGAGGAAGCCGAAGGAAGATAAAGGGGGGGAGAGGAAGCCGAGGAAGATAAAGGGGGAAAGAGAAAGCCGAGGAAGATAAAGGGGGGAAAGAGGAAGCCGAAGGAAGATAAAGGGGGGAAAGAGGAAACCGAAGGAAGAAAGATAAAGGGGGGGAAAGAAAAGCCGAGGAAGATAAAGGGGGAAAAGAGAAAGCCGAGGAAGATAAAGGGGGGGAAGAGAAAGCAGAGGAAGATAGAGAAGGAAAAGAGGAAGATAAAGCTGAAGAAGAAGACGCAAAGAAAAAATGTTATTAAACATTATCATTCATTTTGATTCAGAAAGAAAAGTTGAAGTTATGCACAGTTCAATACAATCTTCAGTCTGTGTGTCTGAAGTACTTAGATGAATCATGTGTTGCCGCTTCAAAAATCGAAAGAAAAGTGGAGGAAGAGCCTTTCAAATTATCGCACCACCTGTGATTATCGTCAGGAGGCGGTAATCCAACTAAAAACAATATATTAAGACAAAAGAAGGTTTCATCTTAATATATTTACTTTGGTTGCTTATTTCAATCCGATCGGAAGTAGTCATAAGCAGATCCAAAAACTTAATTGTTATACAATTGATGTATATTTTCTCCAACAAATCAAGTTCAAAGGAGGACTTGATATTGGGGCGATAATGGAAAATAATATCAATATATTTCCTGGTATATTTGTCCCGCAAACAATATTTGGCGGACTCGTGTGAATTCGGGGAAAAGGACACGAACAACAATTAATAAATGTATTATCAAAACATGTTACAGAAGGATAAAGCAAGAAACGAAGTTGAAGTCATGAACAGTTCAATACAATCTTCACTGTGTCTCTGAAATACTTACATGAAATGTGTATTGCCACTCCAAAAGTCAAAGAGAAAAGAGGAAGAGCCTTTCAAAGGACAGGGAGATTTGGAGAGAACTGATAAGAGTTATTTACAAAGTTATTGAAAATGAAAAATCACAATGATTTGTAACGTGTTTTCAAGTCGAAACAGCTCCCATGATGATATGTTCTTTTCTCTCTATGTTACTTTTGAATATAAATTCAGTTTGCAAAATAACATTTCTATATATAACGTATTTTCAAGACTATAATCTATGAGAAAAACCATTATTAGGGAGCGAAAACATTAAAAAAAAAACAATAATTAAGAAGACAGAAGATACTAACTGACACTGCATTTAAATGTTTGAATATCAAAAGGTGACTGTGGCACAAGTGAGAAGAAACTGTTGGTGTAGAATTTACGGTTGCATCTAGCCATTTCAACTATAAAATGAGACCTAGCTGCCAATCTAGTACTGCGCTTAAATTCATAAAGTCTAGGCACTGAAGAGAAAATATCATCATAAGAATTACCACGAAAATATTCATAGAAAAGGCACAGGGAAGCTATGTTACAGCGGTGGCAAAGTGACCGAAGCCGAAATGCCAGGTCAGGATGGATAACATTGCGGATTCTTTAGATTTTATTAAGAATCTCTAAAATACATTGCCGAAGCACCAGACCAGATGTGACAGCAATATTTAAGTTTTAGGTTTTTTATACATATATATATATATATATATATATATATATATATATATATATATATATATATATATATATATATATATATAAAACAGGGTACCACAAAATAAATATGTGTGAAATGGGAGGGAGATAAATCAGATGTTAAATTTTAAAAATTCCTGATTCCGTTTTCTTTTTTGTCAATCTGATCCTCTCGTAAATTTTGTTAGATGTAATATCATATTGCAAGCCTTTTTTTTGTTTTTATATTACTTTTTTCTATTTTTCAAGTGTACTTAATTTCTGTAAAGAGACCTATAGATTCTATTTCCGCCTCTAAGATATAAAAGTTTTAGAAGCTAATGTTTTGCGATTAAAAAAAAAAAAAAAAACGGAAAGTTTTTATTTATTTTGATAATTAATGGCCTAATGATTTTAGACAAACGATACATCTCAGCTAAAGAGCTTTCACAGATTGAGTTGAAGATAATCAATTTAATTTTATGTTTCGTTCTCAGTTTTAGTTCCAACAAAAAAAAAAAAAAAGAAATGGTGAGAGTTATTTCCCCTTAGATATGTAGTCACGTAACACGCCATTATAAAAGCAGAATAAGAAAAAAAACTATTCCCTTCAGACCTCTACACAGCAAGTATAGCAATGCATGGGAGTAAAGTAGGAATTCATTTCAATGACATTATGACATTTCTTCCTACTTTTATCTTTCCTTCTCGCACATACAAGTTTAAAATTTGAAACACTTTGATGTCAAAGGTACTAAAATATGGTCACGACTTTTTTCGTTGTTTTCGTTCAGATTTTAGAAATCGTTTTGCACTTCCTTGAACTTGCTTGTGATGTATTTTCCTCTAAAATACGTCATAATAAATACCGCAATTCCCCATAGCTGAGCTGCTTGATCCTCATACGTCGAATACGACGGGAGAGTCCCACCATATATCTATTTTTAAGACATGTTTCATTGTACAGTTTTAGACATTTTCTATTTATTTTCGATAAGTTCCTTTCATACTTGCGGATACGTTTTTTGATGTCATTATTGAAGAAAATCGCAGTGTTTATACATATTTGTTTTATTTCTAAGTACTTTCGACATATCCATGTCATCATCAGGGTATTGTTTATTATAAAATAAATATTATCGTATTTATTATTGTCAGAGACAAATTGTTGTTATCTAAAAATAAAATTTCTTACAAATTTCAATGTTTATAATAAACAATACCCTAATGAGGAGATGGATATGTCGAAAGTACTTGGAAATAAAACAAATATGTATAAACACGGCGATTTTCTCTCGTCCTACAATAATGACACCAAAACACTTATCCGTGACTATGAAAAGATCTTATCGAAAAGAAATAGACAGAACATGTCTGAACTATACAGCGAAATATGTCTTAATGAAAACATACTGCCGAAATATACGCATATTATATATATATATATATATGAGATAAAAATAGATGGAATAAAAATCCACAGTTCGTAGGATTTATCTTTAAAAAAGTGGCTCAATACAAAGAGTAAAATATTATTATTATAAATTGCAATAAAAACATTTTATATCGCTACACAAAAACTTTCATGTTTCAGTAATAAGATATGGTAAAACTTCGTTCAAGCGATGATTTGATAACTAGTGATAAAAATGATTTATTACTTAAATTTAAAAACCAATCTTATTATTGAAAAATGAAAAATTTTAAGCGATTGTTTTCGTAATTTATTATAATAAAATTCATATATATATATATATATATATATATATATATATATATATATATATGTAACAGGGCATACCTACTCCAATTTGGGGATTGAGTGTGACGGGGGGTAGAAGACGACTTCAATGGCTTCAAAAATCAGTCAGACAATAAAACCCTGATGATGACTCAATAGCCTAAAAGTGAAACTAAATTAACTGAACCATAGATTCTAAAGATTAAAATATGTTTGATTTTTAAAGTAAAATTTTTTTGTAAACTGCAAATGTCCTGGTAGACCGCACGTTAAAGTGACGCCGAAAAGTTCATACACGGTTGTTGATGAGAAAATCTTTAACTTTTCGCTTGGGTGATAATTACTAATTGTTTCTGAGAGTAGCTCACTGCCTCCCCTCGAAACAAAGATCTTGTTTGATTTATTCATATTCTCTTTTTTTGTTTTATTTCACTTTTTTTCTTTTTCAAATTTGATAATTACCTTTCCTCACATCCTTTAATTTAGGCTGCGAACATTCTAGAACAAGTACCTGATGAAGGCCAGAAAGCATAAAGGTCGAAACGTTGTGATAATAACGAAGATGGGGAGAATGAAAATAATTCGAATAGCATTGTGACATTTGCCTATTTTTCTGAGGTATTATGTACACTATTAACATTATTCGGACTATTGTCGTCACCTTTGTCGCCATATTTATGACAACGTTTCGGCCGCTGTACGCTCCGGCCTTCTTTAGGTGGATGGAATGTCGAACTGAACCCTTTATTTCGTTCACTGGGGTAGACTGTTCTAGTTCCACGTGCCATGTTTAATGGATGTCAGTTATCAGTTATCTCCTGTTAATTTCCCTCTGAAAGTTCTCCACTGCCTTAGCCGGGTATTGAACTCACACAAGTACACATGGCACAGTGGATAAAGACGTTAGTTAGATTCAGTGACAGGACCCAAAGAGTGCGAGTTCAATACCCGGTCTATAACAATTAGTAACGCCTGTCCGCTACAGTATCTTAGTTAATCTAGCTTTCCCTTCATGTTCCTTTAGTAAAAAGGAAGTTCCATTCACACATATTCTTTCCAAGAACAGCTACTTTATGGAACAAACTTTCGCGAAAATGCTTCCCCGAACACATCCATCTTAACCTTCTCATGTCTAGAGTCAACCGTTATCTATCCTACATATCCTCAAAATCTGCACTTACTACCCGATCCTACGTCCATACAACTTCATTTAGTAAATTTCTACCTTGAATGACTCTTGGGCCTTGTATTCGCTGAACATTATTAAAAAATATATAGTGACTATTTTTATTTGCTTCACAAGGCGATAATGCCACTAAGACGTAAGTACAGTCAGTCAGGTGCCATGCGTGATACACGCTTAGGCGATCATGTATATTTCGATACATGACTGACGAGGCAGATATTTTTCCCGGAGTAGATTTCCATTTCTTTCTACGGTAGACCAGTTGCCATCCAAGACTATAGAACCTGGTCTGTCCTGCTATTAACCCATATCTGGGGGGAGAAGAAGAAGATTCATACTTTTCCTAAAGGATTTGCACGTAAGTGAATGTAATGGATTCGACTGGAATTCGAACTCAGCTCTCCGATTTCTCAATCGGATCCGTTATCCATTACTCATCTGTGAAAGAGAATGCAAAGATTTTAGAATTTTGAAGGAACCAGAAACAAAGGATAAACCTTTATTCCAGTGCAAAATTCATATTTGTCAAACGGTTCTTTAACAAAGTAATTAAAATCTTCCAGTATTGTCTTATTCGATTAGCATGGAAAGGAAGAAAAAATACATTTAAAAGAGAATATCAGATTTTTTAAATAAGCACTTATTCCAAAACAGAAAGTTCAAGGACAAGTATTTATTTAGGTTTACTTAGGTCTCATGACCTGCCCCTGTCTTAACTGGTGTCATGCCAAGTTAAATTCAGAAGTAATTGTTGGGTGTCGGCCATATTTGCTC